GATCTAGCTTCTCTTGAACAATGCATTACCATAGTGCTATAGAGCTGGTCCCAATTATCAATTTATTTCCAATTTTTGGTGTTGTATCTAAGAAATCTTTGCCTAACACAAAGGTTTTTCTCCTATATATTCTTTAGAAATTTGATAGTGTTTGGTTTTACATTTCATTTTGATATTCATGCTGAGTTATTTTTACATGGTATGATGTATGGGCAGAAGTTTATTTTTTGCATATGGACTTCTAATGGTTCCAATACCCTTTGTTGAAAAGACTGTTTTTTAACCCCATTGAATTAACCTTGTACCCTTTTTGAAAATCAATTGACCATATTTGTGTGGATCAATTTTTCAACTCTCTGATTGATTTTTCTGTCTTTTCCCAAATCATACTGTCTTGATGACATTAGCTTTATAATTGGTCTTGAAATCAGAAAGTACAAGTCTTCCAAATTTGTTTTCCTTTTGCAAAGTTGATTGAGCTATTTTATTAGGTTGTCAGAAAAGTCATGACACATTTTTGCACAGAAAAAAATGTGTTATGACTTTTCTGACACCCCAATAGATCTTTTGCATTTTCCACATAAATATTTTAGAATGCACCTGCCATTTCTAAAGGAAAAAAAAAAGCTGAAATTTTAACTGGGGTCATGTTGACTCCATATAACATTTGGAGGACAACTGACATCTTAAGAATATTGAGTCTTCTTGGGCCAGCTCTGTCGCCTACTGGTTAAGAGAGCTGGACCCTACATGGCCAACCATAGTTCAAATTCTGGCCCTGGAAACTTGAGAAACACACCAAATGAGTGTGCACATGTGCCCCAAATTTCAAAAGGATAAAGAGATAAAGAAGGGATTGCAAGGACCAGCAAGTGACATAATAGTTGCATCACTGGACTCCCACATACTTACTTGACCACAGTTCAATTCCCATGACTTAAAACCCATGCTGGGGACGTGTGCGTTCCTGCCCAAAATCTCAAGAGGAGAATGGAGGAGACAGGATTGCGGCATGGTCATTCCCCCAGAGGGGTGATTTCTTGCTTTATTTCTCTCTGTCTCTCTGGCAAGTGCATATGCCCTGCAGCAAAACTCTCTCTCTTAAAAAAGAAAGAAAGAAAGAAAGAGAGAGAGAGAGAGAGAGAGAGAAAGAAAGAAAGAAAGAGAGAGAGAGAGA